ATTGAAAAAAATTAAAAACTTAGCAATTACATAAAGGGATTATTTGAACCTGAAAATATGTATGACATGAACATTCACCAAGTAACTTTTATGTTTTAGGTAATAGAATGGACATAAAAGCGGAGAGATGGGGTCACATGTTGCACATTTTATGTTTTTTGAATCATTTTTAGTGCAGTAATAATACCAACTTAGAAAATATATACAAAATTCTATTCAAAAATTGAAACATATTGTCCAAATTTATTCTATAGATGAATATTACAAAACATTCAATTAAGTGGCCATTCTTCCCTTGGTGTTGGCTATATACCAAGTAAAGAGAGACAGCATCTATGCCTTTTAACATAAAAGCTAAAATGCTCTGTGGCTCCTTTTCTCTGGAAGCTTGTAAAATGTAACCTTTTATCCCTTTCAGACAAACCAAATGTACACAACTTTAATCTGAACCATCAAGATTTTTCTTTAAAGAAACAATAATGCACTAATGTCAAGTACATTTGAGGTGTATCTTGCAAAAAGAAGGCTTGAACCCTTGATACATTTAGATAGGAACACCAACAATGGCCACTGTCACTCTCTTCTCATTATAAAATGGGTTTATTTATTATTGCATAGCTCATATTCTCAATTTAGATTGCCACAAAAAAATTACAAAAAGAGAAAAAACAACATATTTCATCAATCTCATAAACACTTTGTCTTTAACTTTGAAAACTCTTTCTCACATATTTTCAAAACATTTTCACTTTGACTTTGATATTAAACAATATCTCAACAACTAGAGTTTAGCATTTTTCACTCTAATTTTGACATTAAACAATATCACAGGAGCACTCAAGAACTAGAGATGGCCCAAGCCTATTGAGGGCCTAGACAAATGAAATGTAGTTAGAATATGGTTTTGTGCCTTACATTGGCCATTGCGATTCTATTATTGTCCCCATTCTACAGTAAGATAGTGCAACTTCTTGTGCAACTTAGATTGTGAAGTTAGGTGCTTCCAGAATCAACGGTATGGTTGAAAGGGTACAGCTATCCCGGGAGATCCGAGAGATTATTTTTCATTTGTTTTCAACAAATTATGAGTGAAAGGACGACCATGTTCTGTAATCGTCATATTGACCAGATTATCGTCTATTGTTTCTATGGAGTTCCAAAGGTTTGCAGTACAAAAATGTGAGAGTATTTAGGATATTGATTAATCACACTTTGTAATCCTAATTTCTTATGTGCTGGCCACAGATTTCTGAACTAAGGCTGACTTTTAAAGAAATTATTTTCAACTATAGAAATGAACGACAGTGTAAACCTCAAGTTTTTCGTAGTGTGTTTCTTGATTGGTCATCAACACGCCGTAATGGGGTATGTGTTCATAATGTATATGTTTCTCCGTTGCGGTCATCAAAGGTAGTTCTATATTTTTTGAACTATCTTTGTCTTACTCTTCTTGAAATGTGTAGAGAGAAGTACTGAAATATCTGAGTTTTAAGTCAGACAATAATCTAAGGGTCATGAAGAGTATAGGCTACAAAAACAAACCAATTTGGATGTGTCTAATTGTTTTAAAAGGAGAATGCAGATAGTTTATAATTTTAAACTTGTAATTCTTTAAGGTCCAAAAAATATATATTGAATTGAGGTGTTTCAAACGACAACTACCTAACCCAATGTAGATGCGGAGCTGAAGTATATCACTTGCCTTTCGTCTCTTGAATAAAGTGGTCAGGGGCTTATTTTGAAGTGTTTTGGTGTATAGGAATTGGGATAGATGATCTCATACTATGATCATCAGGCTTATTCTCAATTGATTTGGTGGTTACGATTCGAGTTAGGGGAGAGCAAGGTTGAATTTGGTTTGGTTTTGAAGTAAACTAACATCGAATTATTAGCTATGGTTTTATGAAATTTGGAATCAAACTGAATCTTGAAAATATTGAAAGTTTTCAACTAAACTATGAAAATGGGATTCATTTCAATTTGGAACTACGATTTCTATAAACAAGTCATCATGCACAATATAATGACAACATTCTCAAATATCAGACAATATATAATCATTTTACAGATAATAATTATTTGAATAATTTTTTAAAATTAGTCTTATCATTATATAAGAACACACTTGTAAGAGAAGAGGGTTAAGGACTTATTTGCAAGAGAAAATGGTTAAAAACTTATGAATATATAAGTGATATTGAGAAGATACTTAAGTGTATGACAAATAACAAATATATATATATATATAAATGGAACTAAATTTCAAATAAAAATCATAACTATAAAATCATAGACCTAACTGTCAAGAACTAGGATTGAATCGAACCGATTTGTGATTTTTTTAAAAAAACAAATTCTTTTACTTAATTCGAATTTGAGTCACACCATCGGAACATTTGGAACATTTTCGATACAAAAAACAGAGGCACATTTATAATGATAAGACTAAATCAGGAAAAGCATCCCAAATCAACAAGTGTGTTCAAAAGACAGAGGCACATTTCGAACATTTTCGAACCGATTTGGAACATTTCTCCAAAACAGAGGCACATTTAAATGATATAAAAAGAATCCAAATCCAAATGGACAATCCGCAATGTCAACCACACCCATTCACGAAGTCAGAAAAAGCCCTAAAAATTTGTGTACGAAATAAATAGAAACTGAAAGGACAAAAACATGTCAACCCTAAAATTAATCGTGAGAGAAGGGGATGGAAGAGACATCGACAACCAGATAGAACCAGATCGACAGAGAGGGAGAGAGACAACAGAAACATACCTGCGATGGTGATGATCGCCGATTTGCAGTGGTGCTGGTGGCGAGCGCCGATGGCTTGCGATGGTGATGATCGCCAGTGGTGAGCGACAGGTTTGGTATGGACGGGTTTGGTATGTTGATGTCGGTGTGTGAGAGTGAGACAAAAGAGAACAAAAGACTCTGTGTGTAATATATATGTACTGGGCGCAAAAATTACTTATTTTCCCTCTAAAAAAAAATTCGAACATTTCGCGACTAAACAACAATTTGTCGCCAAAATGCATGTTTGGCAACAAAAAATTGGTCGCCTAAAGATGCCTTTTTGGCTACTAAATTCAAAAATTCGTCGGCAATACTGAATATACAACGACTAACCCAGGTTTGGTCGTCAAAAAGTAATCACAAAAATGCCCTTTTTTAGGTGACAAAACTGTTTAGTTGCCAAATTAAACCATACGGCGACAAAATGAAATATTGGTAGCCTAAACTGGTAACAAACAGCGAGTAAAGGGAAATTTGGGCGCCAATGATACTATATAGCGACTAAAATACTTTAGTAGCTAAAAGGTTTCAATCAATGCCGACTGAAGCTGATATTTAGTCGATGAATGTGGTGTGTCGCCAATTTTAGTCGCCAAACATGCATTTTCTTGTAGTGTAAAGTTTTGATACCGTTCAACAATTAATGATGATAATATCTTATACAATATTATTAATTGATAAATAAATTACAATATAATCTACAATATGGCACCATGGTTGCCCAAACAAAGCCTAAATATGTGATAGTTATAATAGTACCTTTTCATGGTTGTGTAATTCCTGCAGTCATAGGAATAGACCTTATAGTCTAGGTACCATTGTCATTTATAGAGTCCTCTACTTTATATTGATTAAGGAATTGGAAATTAGGTATGACATTACCCTCTCCAGGGTAGAATTTTTACTAACATGCATTGAATGTTAAAATTACATATAGATATGGGACGATTTTATTTACACATCACTGATTTACTCAATACTCACCATCTTTTAATTTTTTTTAATTACAATTTTATCCCTGAGTTAAATTACTTTTTTACGCAAAATAAACTCTAACTTTTTCAAGCATAGTGGCACCATCACTAGCTACCGTACTTATTGCCTACCTCTTACTCCAGCGACGCCATCTCTCCAATCCTTGACTTTGTTGTCCGCCACCTTCTCAGCTACCGACTTCGCTGACTGCCGCCTCACTAATCCTCATCATGGCTCATCTTCTTTCTTTTTCTTTGCGTCTCTCTGTCTCTCTCTTCTCCTTCTTCTTAGCTACCGCTACAACTCAGTGCTGAGTTGAGAGAGAGATATCTAGGGTTTGGGTTTCTAGATCTATGGTTTGAACGAACGAACGAAGAAGAAGAAGAAGAAAAAGAGGAAGATAGGGATGCGGGAAGGTGGAGGACGAGGTACGACAGAGTTGAGGGAGGTGTGACAGAGTTGGGGAAAAGGGTTAGTAGGTGGTGGCTGAGGTAACGAGGACTAGTTAGGGTCAATGAGGTTGGCATGAAGGGAGAAAGGCCATAGAGGAGTGGACGACCAGATATTAAGGGGTAGCCATTGGTTGCTAGCGGTCGGTGATGGAAGTATTTAGGGTTAGGGTTTTGTTAGAGAAGATAGGAGTACTTTGGTATTATTTGAAAAATGATGGTGTGTATTGAGAGAGAATGAAAGAATCTAAATTGAGTGTGGTGTGAACTAAGAAAATAATATGAATTAAAAGAATTTATGGTGTATAAATAGAATTACCCTTAGATATGATTGTTATTGTGGTTTAGCTAAAGCCAACCTATTTTGTAAAGGGGTAAAAAACAAACTAGCTCATTGGAAACTTTGGAAACAACATTTTTCATTTTCAAAATCAAATGTAAAACATTTTTATTTTTATATTTATTTTCAAACACGTGAAACTCAACCTCCTTGGTTGAATTGTGTACAAAATTTAAAATAATAAAAAACTTAAAACGTAGACTCAAAACCGAATATATTTACATATCAACTGTTCGATTGGACTATTGATGTAACAAAAATAGCAAAAGCGGCTAGATATCTTTTTGACAAATGAGAAAATCCTAAATTCATTCACACGGAGAAAATAAGAAATAGGTAATTCTTTTTAAAAATTGAATTTTTTAATAGAGACTTACAACCAGCCCTATTTATAATTGAATAATCCTATCCCAAAATCCAAATAGAAAACGAAATAGTAAAGAAAAAAAATTAAAATTTACCCAAAAATAAATTTTGAGTTAGAATTCTATAACGTTCTAAAGTATGCCCCAAAAAAGCGGCATCAAAATCAGATTATCACAGCAACAACAGCAACAACGGAAAAACAAAAAAAACAAAAGTAGCATAGGCACAAATTTGAAAGTCTTTAAGGATGAAATTTGGCCAAGTTAACTTCATCAGTTGTTGTGTCCGTGTGTCCGGCATCAAATGTAGTCTTTTGATTCATCGTCTTGACACTCTACTAGAATTTGAAGTACCGAAGCCATTGTTGGTCGCTTGTTTCTATCTTCCTCAATGCAGGAAACACCGATTTCAACCAGTGTTGCTGCTTGGTTCCTGCTAAACTGCCCTCCCAATCTTGGATCCACTATCTCCGCTAGCCAGGACTCTTCTCCGCATTGATTTTTCCTCTTCACTATCCTCACAAACCTTGTAAGCTCTGCTTCCGCCGCCTCACCATCCACCACCACCCAATTTGAAAGTCTAATTCCCCTAACCATCTCTAAAATCACCACTCCATAGCTGTACACATCCACTTTTGCAGTGATGGGTAGGTTCATAGCCCACTCAGGAGCCAAATACCCTTTCGTTCCTCGAATACGAGAAAATTCTGAGTCAGTACCACCTCTCTGAGACAGCTTTGCCAGCCCAAAATCCGCAACTTTTGGTTCAAAGTCACCGTCCAGAAGTATATTTTCAGGCTTTACATCGCAATGGATAACCCATTCTAGACACTCATGGTGAAGGTAGGCCAAAGCCTTGGCTGTCCCTATTGCAACTTTAAACCTCTCTTTCCAACCAAGAAAGTTGTTAGAGAACAAGTGCTTGTCAAGTGAACTGTTTACTACATACTCATAGACCAAGAGTCTGTGCCTTTTTTCTGAACAGAATCCCCACATTCTCACTAGATTCATGTGGTTGATTTTCCCTATTGTGCTCACTTCTGCCCAAAACTCTTTTTCCCCTTGAAATGCATCTCCCAATCTCTTCACCGCCACCAACCTTTCATCAGCCAAAACACCTTTATAAACAGCCCCCGAGCCACCTCTTCCCAGCTCTTCCTTGAATTTCTTTGTTGCTTTCTTGAGTTCGGCATAGCTAAATCTTCTGAATCGACTCGATATCATGCGATACCCATCTTCAAGTGTGTCTGGCAAATCATGTCTCATGAAAAAAACCCAACCCGTTACAACAATGAGGATTTCGATCGCACCAATGGCTGAAGCAAAGGCGTACAAATAAACCCATTTGACTGAAGTAAAACTCACTACAACTTCAGCATCAGTGGATCTACATACGAGTTTGGAGCTATTATATATTGTTTGTTCTGATTCTCCCGATGCTTCCACATTCATGGGCAGTTTCAAGTAAATCTTTCCAGGGAAACTTGGAGACTGGTAGCCGCTGAAAAGGGCACTTTTTGTGAAACATACCCCCTGCCCGTCCAGCCTATAGCTAAACGCTTCGCAATGGCAATCGTCCAAGCAGAGTTTCCTGCAATCTCGAATTGAAATTGATGGGCTATAATTAAGATCAAACCCATAATAATCTGTACATGGAAGCTCCACAAATTTCATCTGCTGAGAAATTGAACAAGACAAATTGAACTTAGGCTTGCAACCTTGATTCCAATCACTTGGATCACTGAGTTCATAACCAGGAGGGCATGAACACTTTGGCTCTGGGGCATAAACACAAACACCATTCCTACCACATAAACCATGCACATTACAAGGTTGTGTAAGAGCCTCCCATGAAACTACCCACAATCCTGTCAAATTATCAAAGCTATAAAGCCTCAAATTGCCATCATAATCCATAGTAAGCCTCCTTTTGACCCCAAAACCCATATCAGAAGCACTAAATTGCAACCTATCACTTGACAAAAACACACCCATATCATCCAAAACAGCAATTCTACTACTGTTATAGTTTGTTCTTCCATGTTGGTAGAGATTCAAATCAGGATTAGGCCAATACAAGCTCGATGTCTCGGGCCCATCATAGATCAATCTCAACACATTATCATTATCAAAATACAAACTGAAATACCCAGAAGCAAAACTTCCATTTCTCAACCCAGATATCAATTTCATGTTCTTGGTAAATGTTTGAAAAGGCAAAAGAGTATCAGTAGGAAAATCAAAGCTTTGCCAGAGAATGTTACCATTTGAGTTCTTCAAAACAAGGTTGCCTGTCTCAAGAAGCTCTGCTCTATCAACATCAGTAGAGCTGGTATTGGTCTGCCAAGCCATCAAGCCATCGACATCGGTCAGGACCATAGCTCCATCTCGCCGGAGAGAGAGGCTGGAGCCGAGGCCGTTGACGGGTTTGTCTCGGTTAGCCATCCAAACAACTGTTTTGGCTGATTGTGTGAACCAAATTCCAAAACCAAAGGCATTGGTACCAACGCTATAGAACCCACAAGTGAATGAATTGTCTGGTGAGGTAATGACATCTGAACCACCCTCAACAGACAGAGAAGATCCTCTTTTCAAATGGTTCAAAGTCTTTGAATTTGTGTGTGGAATCAAGAAAGAGATTGTGAGAAACAAGAAAATGATTGAACCAGTTGGGTTTTTCATGGTTGAAGAACTTGGCTTTGGTTGAGCAATATGTACATATGGATTAAACGCAGCTAAATTTCTCAACCATGTTAAGAGCTTTTTTGTCTGCAGATTTTTGTTGGTTCTTATAGAAACTTGTTTGTGGATTTGATGTAGAAGTTTTAACAGATTGATATACCTCTGTCATCGTCAACACGCTTAATAGTTCTTTTCTTTCAGGTTTCGCACGAGTTCACAAATTAATTGACCGATAATTTTGGTAAGAACAAAAAAAAAAAACATTAAAAAAAAAAAAATTTTGTGAGAATGGCAATCTTGGTTACTTGTGTAGTTGGTTAATTAAGTGAGAAATAGTGAAAAAACGTATTCTCATCAGATCTATATTTTGTACCAAAAGTGATGAGGTGTAGTGAGAAATCACATTTTTTCTTTTTTTTATTCATTCTAACATAATAATAAAAAATTATAAGTATTTCTTTTGTTTTCTAGCCTAAGTGAGAAATTACAATTATTTTTTTTTTCACCTCACCTCATGATTTAAATAAATTTCATCATATCCTATCTTAAAATACTCATAATTATTGTATCATATTTTAAGATTATTGTACTTAAAGATTTTTACATTATTCAATGAAAGTTTTCATGCAGAAGAATATACAGAGATTTGTAGATGGTACAGATTATTCAGCTGCTTGTAAGTTATTATTTTTTGTTTGAGAATATACGTTAAAAGTGTTTTAAAAATTAGAGTATTTATAGCTCTCATGTTTTAATTAACTTTCAACTTAAAAGAAATTATATAATTAAATCAGATAAAAAAATTTATACTAATTATTAGGATAAATTACACTGTTGAAGTTTGAAAAAAATATATAAAATTTCACAAGTTTGACATAATTATATTAAATTCCTTAAAGTTTTAATTTATATAACATTTAATTCTATTTTCATTATAAATTTGTTAGTAATATGAATGAAAAAATAATGTTATCATCTATCTTACATTAAAACATATATTTTGCTGGTGTATATTTGTTTTTTCATATCATCTATATTATTTTTATCTCTTTAATTATTATTTTTTTCGGTAATGGTCTCTTTAACTTTATTAAAAAGAATATCAGTATAATTATATTCTATTTTTTAAAATCTCAAAAAAGGATAGTGTGATTTACTCTAATATTTAATTTGATTATTGTAGATATTTTTCTAAGGTCCAGACTGGACCGTGCTGTTGGGCCTGTGGGGACCCACCACGGGTCCCGTTTTGATAATCTGAACCATTGAATATGTAGAACTCATCGAGTATTATATGCCTGTTAAAAATCACGTTGATCGGATATCGATAACTATGTGATCAAAACAGTCCGGGATCGAACTGGACCGTGCTGTTGGGCCCGTGAGGACCCACCACAGGTCCCGTTTTGATAATCTGAACCGTTAAATGTGTAGAACTCGTCGAGTATTATATGCCTGTTAAAAATCACGTTGATTGGATATCGATAGCTATATGATCAAATCAGTTTCGTATTAAAAAAATTGGACAGTGAACAAATTAACGGTTGACAAAAAACTGTTTTGATCTCATAGCCATCGATATCCGATCAACGTGATTTTTTACAGGCATATAGTACTCGACGATTTTTACACATTGAAGGTATGGCTTCTGTCCAGTCCGGGATCAGACTGGACCGTGCTGTTGGGCCCATGGAGGCCCACCACGGGTCCCGTTTTGATAATCTAAACCGTGAATATGTAGAACTCGTCAAGTACTATATGCCTCTTAAAAATCACATTGATCGGATATCGATAGCTATATGATTAAATCAGTTTCGTATTAAAAAAATTAGACGGTGAACAAATTAATGGTTGACAAAAAACTGTTTTGATCACATAGCTATCGATATCCGATCAACGTGATTTTTTATAATTATATAGTACTCGACGATTTTTACACATTAACGGTTCAGATTATTAAAACGGGACCCGTGGTGAGCCTCCACAAACCCAACAACACAATCCAATCCGATCCCAGACTGGACAGTAGCCATACCCTTTTTCTAATGTGTATCTATTATTTCTTCTCGAAGAATGGAAGAAGTGGTCTACCAAGGTCCAAGACAAGCAACGTGTGTTTGTTATTCTAGGAAAACTAGTGAATGTTTTGAAGATTAAGGCTTCGTTTGGGAACAGGTTATTTTAGTAATTTTTTGACTTTTTACGAAAAGATGTGCAGAAAAGTAGAGAGGTAATGTGACTAGTTTTAGTTGACTTTTTAGCTTTTTGGTTAAAATAGTCAGTCTCCAAATGAGGCCTAAGATGGCTTTACTTGGACTCCTAACTGTTGACGGAAATGTGATGACTGTTGCCTTACAGACGTCTCTATTGCACAGTTATATAGACTCATTTCGAGACTTATTGTGATGATTCGAACTTTTTATTTTTTAGAGTACGTCAAGTAAATCATACCTGTAAAATATAAAGTTGATCGGATATTGTTAACCATTTCATCGAATTACATCTATATCTAAAAAATAGAAGGCAAATGTCATTAGAGTTATAAAATTGAATAAAAATGTGAGTGTATGAAAAGATTAACGGTACACAATTAATTTGATATTATGGAAGTATAATCTACTCTTTATATTTTAAAAAATGAATGACTCAAATTATTAAAAGCATCTCTGAAATTAGTTCATGTGACCACACGAGTGGCTTCGGGCAAAAAAGTCATCCATTTGACACTTCTTCTCTGACTCCAAATACCTTACACATTTGTAATATGTTTTTCAAGATATGAAAGTCAAGTTAAAATTCTCCACACAAATCACCATATAGACCCTATTCCATTTGATTAGTTATTTGGTGCAATTTATAGAACCTATTTACAGACTATTTTTAAATTTTAAGTATAATTTATAAAATCTATTTACAGTTAATTTTTAAATTTTAAGTATTTGTGTTTAGGTGTTTGATATAATTTCTGTTAATTAATAAGATATAAAAAAAAATTAAAAAAAATATGTACCAAACAAACCTATATCTCTTGCATCATTTTTTAGGATAAACGAGAAAGTTTGGTGGATTGGGAAGACTCGTTCAGCATATAATAGATAGAAGTCAACAAAGGGTGTCTTGCTTTGTGATAATCCTAAATGAGAAGTTTGGTGGATTGGGAAGACTTGCTTAATGTTGAGCATTCAATTACAAGATACAAGTCAACACAGGGTGTCTTGCTTTTATGATAATCCATAATGGGACCATGCTTGTGATAATGTCACCATCAAAAAAAATTGAAAGTTTGTTTTAATCATAGACCAACGACATAACCCAATGAAAATTTGAAGCCGCCTCACATAAAAACCTCAAAGAAAAATCAAAGGTCCTTTCAGATTGTTGGTGGGTTGTGATCTTTTGCTCCCATTCGAAATTTCCAAAACAAATGCGAAAATTTTTTGATCAAAATATTTTTATTTTTTCTTTAAAGTTTTTCTTATATGAGGTGTGAAAATTTTAATGAAAAATCAGATCAAATATTCATTTGAATATGAAATTGTAAATAAGAACGCTATTGTATGCACATGTGGGTATATGCGTATGAGTTATGTAAGGTTCGTTTGGTTTATTTTTAGAATTATGATTTGAATGTGAAGTTATGTTTGAGCGTGGAGTTTTCAAATCATTTTTTGAAAATAGAAAATTTGTTTGGTTCTGAATTTTGAAAATAATTTTGAGATGTTTAGAATTTTTTTATTTTTAATTTTTTAATTGATTGATGTGAGAGAATGTGAGAAAAGAAAAGAAAGATGAGAAAGAAAAATTAATTAATTAATTAATTAATAATAACCAAAAAAAAGACAAAAGAGAAATTTTATAAGTAATTTAAAAATATATTTGATTAATATCTTTCATATACTTTATGATTTAAAAACAAAATTAAGTTTTAAAAATAAACCAAACCCCACCGTAGTGTTTTGATGATCCAATTTACACTCAATGTGGATGCTTAGGTGGCAGTGATGTGCTTAGGTGGCAGTGATGTGATGTGCTCTGGTGCTCACATGGCGTCGATGATGTGATGATGAGGCATGATACAAGACCACAGTCAACGTCACGGGATATAGCCGTCGACAAACGACTATCCAATCAATGAAATCGTAGCCATTGATCGAGTAAATGCATGATTGGATGGATAAGATCACACTCAATCACAATAACTAAAAAAATAAAAAAAAATCTAGGCAGTACCCCAACCAGCTCATATGAGAATTTTAGGCTCCGTTTGGTTAGGGTTTCAAATTATAGTTTCACTCATTGATTTGAGTGTATTGTTTGTTTTGAACTTTCAAATCATAATGCTACACTCATTTCTCAAAACTCAATTCAAAACATAATCATTACTTTTCAAAACTCATAACCAAACATGTAATTCAAAACTCTTTTCAAAACTCAATTCAAATCAATATTTTAATTTTTTAAATATTTAATATTTAAATATGTTACGATTTTTTAAATTTTTAAATTTTTTGAATATTTTTAAATATTTTAATTTCAAAATATTACGATTTTAATTTTTTAAATTTTAAAACATTTTATAAAAATAAATTCAAACTCTATTTTATAAAAATATTTTTAAATATTTTAATTTTTTTGTTATGTATTTGGTTACAATTTGAGTGTAAAGTTGTGAATGTAGTATGGAGTTTCGAGTTATGTATTTGGTTATGAGTTTTAAAAATAATTTCTTAATTGAGTTTTGTTTTATGTGTTTGGTTACGATTTGAGTGTAGAGTTGTTTTTAAATTTAAAATATTAACATTTTAAATTATTTAAATTTTTTGAATATTTAAATTATTTAAATTTTTACGATTTAAAATTTTTGAATATTTTATTTTAATTTTTTACTTATTAAATTTTTTAGATTATTTAAATTATTTAAATATTTATGATTTAAAATTTTTGAATATTTATTTTGGAAAAAAAATTATTTCCTTTGTAGTATTTTCAATTAAAAAATTGATTAATGTTATTTTCTGTTAATAATAAAAAAAAATTAATTGAGTTTTAAAGAGAGTTTGGTTATGAGTGTTGATCAGAATTTTCAATAGTGTGAAAGTAGTGTGTTTTGTTATGAGTTATAACAATTTGAATTAAATTTTGAAATTTTTTTCCAAAACTCATAACCAAACAA